CGAGACAAACTGATAAATGTGAGTTTTTGAAGCTTCTAAAGTGCAGACTATGTACCGGCTATCTTAGACTCTAATATTACAGACTCAAACTAATCAAAACAAAGTTATTACACAATAAAACAAGTTTTCAACTCTCTAAGTTCTTTGTTCTTGAATCATCATCAAAATCAACAAGCTTCATGTCCATGTAAGTTCAACATCAAGTTCTTGTATGTTCAACAAGCTTATGAATTGACCTTACCTCCAGAGGCAAAGATCTATAACGTTTTTCATGTCTGCTTACTTCGACCACATCAGAGTCATCTTCCTTCCTTATCTCTCATATTGCCTCACGACATCTTTGACAACCAACCTATCTTAGTCCCATTAGTTATCATCGATTAGAAATGAGATAACTCTACTGCCACCTCCTGCCTTCAGGTTTTGATTTAGTGGAAGAACATACCCCTCGAAGAGGCTAGCTGGGAACCGTGAGATCTTTTTAGAGACCAATTTCACCTTGAGGACAAGGTGCTATTTGAACAAAAGAGGAGATGTAAGGAACATAGGCCCAATTCCCCTCACTCTTGTTGCTAACATTGAGAGTACAGAAGGGCTAGTTCCTAACACATGATGACCCATAGGAGGGCCCAAATCTTCCCAACATTACACTTGAGAAAAGGCTTAGAAGGGAGAGATATCAACCCCAACGGCTAAATGATTATGTTGTGACAATTCCAAACGCCTGTAAGAAAGAGAATTCTGTTATGCCTAAATGATTAAGAATGAATTTTATTGTTATATGTATTTTGTCTTTTTCTTACATGTCATACGAATAGCAAGATATATTTTGGTTGTTAATGAAAGAAGGGACAAAAGATTATTTAGTAAAAATACTTTTTCTCTGATTTATTTTACTTTTTTAACTTTCATTCATTCTTGTAACAAGTACCTTTTAGAGTATTTTAAATTCATTTTTTATAATAATATTTTTAAGATCAACTATCATATTTAAAATATAGTAATTTTAAAATTCTAATTAATCATAATGTTATTTTTAATTTTTTTATAGATTAAAAAATTAATATATATAATTATCGTTGTTTAATTAATCATAATTGTATTTTTAGTTTTTTTATGGATTAAAAAATAATATATATATATATATATATATATATATATATATATATATATAATTATCGTTGTTTTTAATCTTACACTATGAAACTCATACATTATCAATTATTAATTACTTTATTAAATTTTTAATTATTATTATTATTCATTTTATATCCTGGATAATTAAATGATATATATGGTTATACGTGGAATTAATGTCATCTAGTAACATACGAGGAAATAATTTATCCACGTATTATTTAAAATTCATTAAAAAAAATTCTTTCCAAACGTCAAGATCCTGGTTATACACGTTTACGGTTAATTATGATCATTTATAAAATAAAACTTTTATGCAGTTAAAATCATTAACATCATTCAATTATCGAAATAGTATAAAACGAAATACTTTTTTATATGAATAAAAAATTTAATAGAATAATTAATATTATATGAAAACTTAAATAAATTTTATATCAAATGGAAATATTCATCATAATTATTACATGACAAACACATTTGACCTAATTAAATTTTATTTGTTCATGCATAAACATGGATAAAAAAAGGAAGAAGTTTGAAATCTGAAACCATTCCAAATACCAGATGGGATTTTCAACTGGTGAGTAACCTGATCTTATTGTTACGACAATTGAATGGTTGTAAGAAGATGAAATGTTTGTAAGAAACACAATGATTGTATGAAAGCTGATCGTGTTGGTGTGGCACGGAGGGTCTCAGGAGATTTGTGATTTGATGTTGAGCAAACAGGGAACCAACTAAGCTCATCTCTTGTCCTTCATTCCAAATAGAGAAGTATAGGAAATTTCACATTTATCTCAGGTGTTTCTCACCTTCTACAACACTCTCTTTTGTAATCATTGGTTGAATCTATTCTTTCAAGATTTGCTTCCTAAATTTATACACAAAGAATCTCTTCCATTTAATGTCATCAAGCCAACTTTTGGCCACCATCTTCACCACTCATTCCTAACGACAGTTCTTATAAAAATGTTTGAAAACCATGAATAAACATAAAAGAAATTAGTGAAAAGTAATGAAAAGAAGCATAGAGGAAAATAAAAATATGTAAATATATATAGTAAATTTTATATATTTTTTATATAATTATTTTGTAAAAGAAATTAAATAGATTTTAAGTCTAATTACCGGATTATGATATTTAAATTTTATATTATTGTTCTTCACTAAAAAATATATTTAATTATTTTAGCTTAAATAATAGGTGGATTGGGGGTATAATAATTTATATTTTATAAAAAATTTTAATATAAGAAGTTTTTTGTTATAAAAAGACTTAAAAAATTAAGGAGGTTAATTATATGAATAAAATATCATGAAAATTGGATAAATATAAGCTTTCGAAAGGTTTTTAACGTATTCACACATGTCTCATCCGTGTGTATGTCAAGTATAATTTATTATTATTATTATTATTTCACTTTTTTTATATAAATAATTCATCTATTATTTGGATATTTATTATTTAAATTTTTTTATAATTTAATAATTAAGATAAATTACTGTTTTAGATTATTAAAATAAAAAAAATATGATAAGAGTAAATACTAAATTTTATAATTTTTATCCTCTCTTACTTCAAAATTTAACTTTTATTAAATTTATAACGATAATACTGTATGTTTTACCTTTTTTTTTAAATCATTTCTCTCCTCCAAAAGATGATATAAATTTTTTTTTTTCGTTTCATTTTTTTATTAATCCTCTCGATCAAACTCATCCCAAAAAAAAATTAGAGGAGAATATTGCTTGCAACACTCCGTTTCATATTTTATTTCTAACCCTCTCAATTATTATTATTATTATTATTATTAAAAATCACAAGTGAGTTATGAAAAAATCCTGTCAATATTTACAATTTATAATATTAATTAATTAATAACAAATACATAATTAAAAATAAAATATTATTAGAGTTATTAAAAACATGTTAGCATCTCCAAAATAGGACATTCATGGAATAATTATATCATAAAAAATTTAATAGAATTTAGTGAATGTGTTTAAATTTCAAAATAGTTAATTATTACATGTTTTTTTAGTATGGTATCAAATCAAACCTAAATGTATAATTCATTTCTAAACTAAAACTATTCAACACAGCATTGATTAACCAACTAATTTGAAAAGAATTACCAACATTTTACAGAAAGATGTTAACTTGCAACTTATACAAATATATCAATAACAATAAATATTATTTTAGCTTAATTATCTTTTTAATATCATTATTTATTTACCTAATTTAATCCTATTATTAAATATATGTTCCATCAAATCTCCTAATTTTTTTTTAAATATAACAATAAGATATTTTTCGTTCAATTACCAATGAGATTATAGCAAACTTATATTAATGGCATCAATTACATATAATATTTATAATTAACATAGAACGATAATTTATGAAACGAATTAACGTCAATTTCAACAAACATAGTTATTATTATTATTATTATTATTATTGTTGTTATTATTATTATTATTATTATATTGTTATATTTTCAAAATTAATAGACCTTTGTATTAATATCATAATAAAAAAGAAAAAAATAAAAAATTTGTTACGCTTGGTATTTTTTATATTTATTTTACTTTTGACAACTGTATTAATTTTCACTTTTTATATCTTAGTAATAATTTATATTTATTAAATTTTGAAATAGTTAATGAGTTTCCTAATCAATATTTAATGAATATTTTTTGGTAGGTAATCTTAATATGTTAAAATAAATATTTTAAATAGTATAATGGCTAAAATAAATATTGTAATTAAATATATAAAAGATAACTGTTACGCTTCATTATATTATCCGTATCAATATCTTATTCAACAAAAAAACTAAAAATAAAAATGATCTCATATAAGATATAATAAAATCCTGTCTTAGGGGTGAAGAGATAAAAATATAGTAAAATTTTTAGTTCAGTATTAAAAAGAAAATTAAATAAATAATTTAATGCCGAAAAGGATATAAATATATAAAATAAATCAGAAACTAGCATTTAAAACAATATTATTTCAAGTAGTGTTTTAACTTATTTAGAAAAAACGTTACTAAAGAGGTCAAACAAACTTTTCAATAATAATAAAAAAAATACTAAAATGTCATGTTAATCATAGTCTTAAACTTACCATATTTGTTGAGTTTCTCCATTTACAAAACTCAAAATTTACTTAAAAATGAGATTAGTTTTTCGCAAACCATAGATTGGATATAAATGTGAATGGTGAAGCTTAAATTTTAAACCAAACGAACATTAATTTACTCAATCAAAATTGTAATTAATCCCGTAAATTTGGTATATTAAACCGTTTTAGCATTAATTAATTCATTTAAATCCATCAATAGAGAAATAGCATCAAATCATTCTTAAAAGCGATAAAAGTTCGAGTAAAGAGATTAAAATACATAATAGAACACAATTAATGTCAACTTTGAATAATGCAGAAAATACAATTAATTTTAAATAATTGAGAATCGAAATATTAATACTATAAACGATATGGATTTATTATTACTTCTATAACAGGAAAAAGAAATTAAATGACCCTTAAAATTGTTTAAAAATTTAACTATCACCATTTATGTCTCTTAAAGACATTAATAAAGCCATTTTACATATTACTCAAAAATATTTTTATTCTATTTATTTATTGTTTAAAGTATATGAGGATCTCTCAGGATACAACCTTGTTTTATTTGATATATATATATATATATATATATATAATCTTTTTCACACACTATTGCATATATAAATCACATTATAACATGCTGTAACGAAACAAGCCACCATTAGAACACTGAGTGTTTGTTTTGTGCAGAAGGAGAAAGAAAAGAAAGCAAAAAGCATCAATGGGGTATGACATAACCTCTGTGTTGGGATCAAAGAGTGATGAAAAACAAACCACTCTGGTTACTCGTGACTTCCTTGGTGGCTTATCTTCCATTGAAACCCAGGAATTGGATCTCGACTCCTACGTACCCTTTGGTTGGGAGAGGCACCTAGACCTTAAGGTATGTACAACCCTTCACTTTCATGTTTCAATATTTTGTTTTTTCAATTGATTCATCTACAGTATCCCTACTTAATATTCCATATGACATAATCTGTATAAGGGTGAGGATATTTCCGTTTTAAAATTCTCTTTTAATATATAATTTGTAACATTATTTTGTTCTGAGAAATTTAAGTCTGAGTGTAAGTTTAATATTGAGTAAGAATGAGTAAATCGAGTACCACACGAGAAAAAAAATGCATAACTTAATGGTTAGAGGTTTTGAATAAAAGATAACGGTCTTAGACTAATGTGTCTTGTGTGAATCCTCTCACAAGACACACACTTTCTGATATAAAGTTCAGTTTTCTTTTTAAATTTCTTGGTTTGTTTAGTCTCCTGTTTTCTGGTTTAGTTCTTATTGTTTTTTAAGTATTGCGATTTCGTTCATACTATCTGAATTAATTATGTGTTGACGAGGACTGTGAATTGCAGTCAGGGAAAGTGTACATTGAAAGATGCAAGTCTTCAGTGTCTGAACACAAATTCCAAATGAATAAAGTGGATCCAAAGATTCAAGACTTGAATTTTCCTCCTTCTTCATCCAGAGTGTTGTTGAAGCCTTTCAAAGAAACAAGCTTGGACTTGAAATTGGCCTCACATTCGATGCCATCAAGCAACTGTCAAAGTGTGTGCACAGTTGATAAGGTGAAATCAGCTCTTAAAAGAGTAGAGAAAAATGCAACACCAAGGAAGAGGTTTTCGCCCTTAAATTCATCATATTTGTCTTCTGCATCTGTTTCCTATTCCTCTTCATCCTCTTCAGTTAGAGACACCAAAGATGAAGATCATGAAGAGAAGTTGTCTTCACCACTGGCTGCAGGGTGTCCTGGTTGCTTATCATATGTGATAATAAGGAAGCATAATCCCATATGTCCTATCTGCAACTCTGTTATTCCTTCTCCATTGAAGAAGAAACCTAAGATTGATCTCAATGTATCTCTTTATGATATTGGTGGCAATTAGTGATACTTGTGGGACCATGACATTTCCTACAGTTTTGAATCGGTTTCTAACCTTGTTTATTATGATTTTAATGTTTATATTATTGAGTTTTTTATACCTATTATATTCAAATTTGAATGTTTCTCTGTTTATACCAAATCAACATTAATTGTATGAAAAAATGGTTAATTAACATTAATTAGTATAGTTAATCAACATTAATTATAAACAGTATGCACAAATATTCAACATAATATAAACAACAAAAATAATTTCATGTAATGCAAGTAGTCGATACTATTAATATATAAAAGAGACCAATTATGAAACTTGTATACATTTTATTTAATAATTTTTTTTGTTTTAGTAACTACTTTTATTGTATCATCTATAATTATATATAAATGAAATTATTATGATTTGTAATGCGTTATTGGAGACAGAAAAATAAGAAATTTATAATTTAAGGAAAAAATATTTATTATGATCTATATATTTAAAAAATAACAAATATATGAAAAAGAGAAAAAATAGAAAAAAAGAATGAGAAAAGAAAATAAATTTTAAAATAAAATAATTATATAAAAAATATAGATACAATTATTTGATAAAAACATGTATTATTTTGATAACTATTTTTATATAATGATGATTTCTTTTATTATTTTACATAAATGTAGATACACATAATTGATGAAGGCATGTATTTTCACTGTTTATAAATAATAAGGTATATATTACTTGAATTATGTTCTTGGTCTTAGGAGTTGCACACAGCCCCAGCAAATATTAAAATTATTAGAAATATGGATACAATTCAGAAAATATTTTTTTATGGATATATTTTGAAACAGTGGGAATAATTATTATGCATATTCGTTGAAGTTAAATAAATTATATATAACTTATTGTTTATACAATTAGACTATCTATTTAAATTATTTTAATATTAGTTGTCTACTTTATTATCACATTATATTTTATTCAATACACGATTTATCAATTTGAAATAACATAATAACATTTGAAAGAACTAAATATTCAAAAGAACGTTTTATTTGAATAAAAATAAATTTTCGTTGACTTTTTTTATAAATAACTTTATTAAATTAGATGTAGAAAATATGAATACAAATCCATGATTACTAAATTTATAATAGGTTAGAGTAATTATGAATGATACAAAAGGTTTACTTTTCTTGATAAATCATTGTATTTAAATGTTAGATTTAACAAGATCACATAATTTAAATTATAATTAAAATAATTATTGTGTTAATAAATAACAAAAATTAAGGTAATTTCTGTTTATTATAATTAAATTTATTGATGTATAAATACTTTCTTACATTTTTTATCGATGGAAGAAACATAAATTTAAATTTATTTTGATTTAAGATAGAAAACAAAAATTTGGGTTTTTATCCGTGTAAGATCTTCAACATTGATCTTGGATGAGTCAAATAATATATTATTAATAAATAATAAATAAATATAAAAGAAAGAAAGAAGATGAAAGAGTGAAATGATAAAATTGTAGATATATACTTAAATATATTAAATGATCATTAAGCTTGAGGAGACAAAATCATAAATTATATGAGAGTTACAAAACTGATGATAGATTAAGAGGATAAAATTGTAAATATACAAGTAAATATATTAAATGTTTATTAAGTTTAGGGGGACCAAAATTATAAATTACATGAAAATTACAAAATTTTGAAGGAATCATAACCCCTCAGTTTCTAAGAAGATCCACCACTAGTTTTTATGTAGCGGATATATAAGCCCTTAACAAATACTATTGCTTTTTAAATACTACAAAATTTTGTTCAAAAAAATGTGTAAAATTTTGTTGTTTCTCACAAGATTTTCATATCACTATTCTTCACAAGATTTTGATATAATTAAACTAAAACATACCTAAAACATCCAATTTTATTTATATATACTAAAAGAATCTACATCAACTATACAATTAATGCGGTTTTGTTTTAATATTATATGCATTGATTTGTTGATAGTTAATTTGTATTAAAAATATTGATGGATTATCTTTAATAAAATTTACGATTTTAACAATTATGTTATTACATAACACTTTCAAATATCAAATAATTTAAAAATTTGAAATTAGTTCCATTTATAATAAATATATATTGATTATTAAATGATGTTTTAAGTAATAGTTAATTAAGATAATAAGGTTTCAATTGTTTGGATTATCACTTTCTTGAATAAAATAAATAAATAATAAGAAATAGGTTGAGTTTAATTACTTCTTGGTTATAGGTGAGAAATGTAAGAAATTTTATTTACTATTGAAATGTTTAATAAAATCTATTGAACAAAATTATCATCGCTGAGGAGGAGTTTTTTAAGTTAGGAAATTATAACCAAGATTTTGTAATTTATATTAATATTTATTATTTTAACCTTCTAAATTATTATTAAATAAAAATATATATTTATAAATTTGATTTTTTTATATTTTTATATTTATTTATTTTTTATTAATAATATACTATTTAATCGGTTCAAGATCAATCATTAAAATTGAGCACACTCGTATCTTTAATATGAATGATTCAAATTTGGTATGTTGACATGGAAAAATAGAATAATTAATAGGAAAATGAGAGAAAATAATTATTTTTCTTTTTATTAAAAAATATAAAAAAATGTCACTTTAATGGATATGTTTACTTTTTTTTTTCATGTGAACGGAAAAAATAAAAAATATAAGAAAATTATTATTTTATAAAATTATATTTTAATTAATAAATATTTTAACAACCTAATATAAATAATTTTATAACTATATAAATATTAAAATTTAATTAAATAATATTCTTTATTTATTTTTATGTTTTTTCAAAGAAATAAATATTTATTTATTTTCACTTAATTTAAATTTATTTTATTTTATTTTTCTCACACTTTTTTTTCTTATTATCGAACGGAGCGTAAGAGTATTGGATTTACTAAATATATAACTATAATATAATATATAAATGAAATTTTAAGTATAATTTATAGTATAAATAAATTTTTTTACTAATTTATTAAAAAAATATACAAACTTAAAACCACTAGATTGTTAGAAAAATATTTTTTCGTTAATTGGAGGCAAACTTTTGGCCACTAATTCATGAAAAATAAGATTATTATCATCACTTATAAATTGAATTTTTATGTTTCTTAAAAAATAATATAAAACAGAGAAATTTTTTTCAAGTGGCTATGATGTTATATATATAAAAAATTAAGAGATAAAGGATTTTGACGCTTATCTATTAGAAAATATTCACTACTTGAATATTGAATTTTTTTAACTATTTCATTAACAAAATGAAATTTGTTAGAGATAAAATTTTTCTGTCACTAATTAATTAGAGAATGAAATTAGATAAGAAAATTTATGATTTAGAAAAATAAAATTAATTAGAGATAAATTTTTTTATCGTTAATCCCATCAAAAATATTAAAATAAATGTTTTTTTTTTATTTAAACAACTTATCAAATATGATCAATAAGGTTAAGACAAGTATCGAAATTTCAAATTTTTGAATTAATATTTTTAAAAGGTATTATTTAATGAGATTTTTGTTGTAATTCAAAGAAATTAAATTAAAAAAATATGAAGTTCTAATTATATGCAGTTAAAATTTCTTCATTTTAAAATTATTTTATATAAATAAAGTAATATAAATGGCTTGGGTTTCAATATAAAATAATTCAACATTTATTTAAGGCCAAAATTTATTTTCAAAATTTAAATTTTAATATATCAATTTAAATTTTAATATATCAATTTAAGTTTTAATATATCAATTTAAATTTAAAATGAATATTATAGTATAATATTTAATAAAATAAACATAATGATTTTAAGAATTTTTATTTTTTGAAAGGAATGTAGAATGTATAAATTGCATAGAGATAACTTACAAGTTTAATCCGGTCTATTTTAAAAAATATTGGGTGTAAAATTTAAAATTCAAACCAATCAAAATTAACTTTCCAATAGAAAAAGGTGAGATTTTGAAGAAAGCTTGAAAAATAAGGTTCCAACGTATAAAATTAAGTGTTCGTAGGTTCAGGAAAGTTATAGAGTGTAAACTATGAAAAAATAACGAAAAATAATAATATTTCTTATTCAGTAATAAAAAAAATAACGAAGTTAATTTACATTGTAATGAATATGTTTAATTATTTTTGTACATGTGGAAAATAAAAGAAAAATACAAAAGAATGTTGTGTTATAAATTTGTTTTTATTTAAGAATTAATTTTTTTGTATATAAATATTGTATTTATGAATTTTTATATATATATATATATATATATATATATATATATATATATATATAAGTGAAGGCGATTATAAAAATTTAATAAATAATTTTATATACTATTTATTTATTTACAATATAATATTGTTTTATTGATTTAATTTTTAAATAATTTAAAAAATAATATTATAATTGAAATATTTTATAATTATATATTATAGTTATATTATTAAAAAATAAGATATATAATTTAAAATTTTATTTTTTAAAAATTATTTTATTAATATAAAATAATTAATAATTACATACATAATTTTATAATTGAATGAATATATTTTTTAATTTAATTATTTATTATTTTTAAAATTAATACTTTTCTTTTTATAATTTTAAAATATTTTTCCTTTTATTTTACTTTTTTTTCCTCAAATTTTTGTTTCTTTGTTGTCCAACGCGTCTAAAGAAAAATTAAAATTTATAAATTATGGGAAAGTGTTAATATCTTTCTTTATCCATAAATGTGGTAGTATAAATAAGTGCTAAGGAGAATACAACTTTTAAAAACTTTATAGTTAAATAAATATATTAAGAATGAATTTCATTTTTCTTTTTTTCAATGATACATCTATTTTTTCACCTCATCTTTGTTATTGAATCTTAAAATTCTTTCTAAACAATTGTTTTAGATTTTTTAGAGTTTCTAAAGATTATATTGTAACAATA